TGAGTAGCTAATTCACAACAAGCATTAAGAGAGGAACAAAATATTACCAATCAATGAAAGAAGCATCAACATATTAAGAACAATGACAATTTACATAAGAGTGCAGTGGTTACATCAATCTCCAACAAGAATGAAACTAGCTCTCCATTGCCATGGAGAGATCAAGCTTACAACAATAGTGGAAATTGAAGAAGGGGAAAACCCAAGGAAGGAGAAGAAGTGTTCCCACAGCTCCTAGCCAGCCTCCAGGTGCTCTAGAAGATAGATCTCGCGTTTGGATATCCAAAGATGCAGACCTCTTTGCAATTTGGAGTTAAATAAACCGAATCTGCCACAATAGCAAAGGTGGCGCTCAACGCCCTTTAAGGACACCCGGGCACGAGTCAACACACCTAATGGCACTCAGCGCCCTTTAAGGGGCACCCAGGCACAGCTCAACACTACTTTGGTTATTTGTTTTTGTTGTTCTTCCTACTTTCCTTATGTGCCAGAGCTTTGATTTGATACAGAATTTTCTTCTAATTGATTTAAGCACACAAAAGAGGAGATTAAGGATCAAATTAACTCATTAACTCAAGATGTAACCACTTAGGATAATGAAAGAAAACTAGGATCTAGAAGGTAAAAAGTCAAGGCAAAGGTGATCTTTGTTCATAATTCAATACTAAAATGACAGTAAAATCAAACATCTTGACTCCCCTAAACTTAGAACCTTGCTTGTCCTCAAGCAAAACGTATCTGGCTTTAACACAATTGAATTTAAATTATCTACAACACAATAAACCATTTTGATATAATCATAGAAAAATTCATAATACTTGCTTGTCTTGACACAGCTAAAGATATGTAACAAGCTAGATTTTCACTATGGTGCTCACAACAAAATTTAATCAATCAAATGCCATAATTTATAATGGATCAACAATCAAGGTAGAATGCTTTACTAAGTTATGTAGAACCAATTCTCACTCAAGATATTGTTTTACTTTAATGCACCAATGTATAAGAATGTGTTTCCAACTCTCAACCATCATAATGTCATCCTATTTAACTTTGTCTTTCATCTCAACAATGATAAACATTCACAAACATATTGTCATCACAAGAACTTTTATTGGCTTGTATTGTGGCTAGGCTAAGAAGGATTTTTTGTTTTTCAAGAATGCAAAATCCTTGAGTTAAGAAAACAAACACTTAATTTATATTATTACCATTGTCTCTCTTTTCCACAAATCTTACTAAAATAATACCCACATTATGGAAATTTTGTAAATCTTTTTTTAAAGAATGAATGTGTAACAACAATAAATTCCCCCAAACTTGACTTGTTCTCATGACCTTGTATCATATGTTCAACTCAACTCAAGGTAAGGTAATGGAACTTTTCAGGTGGGTTTAAGGTTTAAGGATTTAGTCATGAAGGGTTAGTCTTAACATGTTCAAAGGTTTTGTATAATTTAGACAAGGTGGGTTGTTTGGTTCAATCAATAAAATCTGTATAAAAGAATAATGGCCTTAATCATTTGTAACATGCTAGTAAATGAATCAAAGAGAGGATTGGGCAGAATCAATAGCAATTCCAAAGTAATGCAATACACAACAAGTATTATGAGGCACACATCTCACACAGTTTAAACTTAGGGTTCCAAAAACATCATCAAGCAACTACCATGAATATTAAACACAAAACATTCTCAAACTTTTGATAGTGAAAACAACCACAAGTTGAAGTAAACTGAATCATCTCAAGCATCATTTCATATTCAAGCATCTTGCATCAATACAGTCTATCAAGCCAGATAACTTAAACAACTTCACACAAACTAGAAAGTAAAAGTTTCACTCAATCATAAGTTAAAAACTAAAAAATTCACTCAGTTTAAAAGTAAAACTAGCAAACAAAGCATAAAAAGCATTAAAAAAAGGTCATGTGAATCATGATATGCTATCATCACTCGTATAAGAGTCCTCCTCATCAGCATCGTCAACATCTGTCTCCTCCTACTCTTTATCATCATCAACATCTGTCTCCTCTTCCTCATCATCATCCTCTTCCTCATCCATATCTGCATTAGTTGCGGCTCCACCTCCCCCAAGCACAACTTAACATTGCTTTGGTTCTTCGTTTTTATTGTTCTTCCCGCTTTCCTTATGTGCTAGAGCTTTATTTGATATGGAAACTTCTTATAACTGATTTAAGCACCAAAAAAAGGAGATTAGTGATCAAATTAACCCATTATAGCTCAAGATGTAACCACTTAGGATAATGAAAGAAAACTAGGATCTAGAAGGTAAAAAGTCAAGACAAAGTTGATCTTTGTTCATAATTCAACACTGAAATGATAGTAAAATCTGCCATTATCATCTGTTAACAGACTAATCTTTTGTGATAGCTTGGAGGGCATGGTGTTCCACCATAACAAGTTTACAACTTGTCATAATCTGATATAATACATATATATATGGATTGGTCACGTCTACAATTTATCTGTATGCTTAGGTTTGATTTGGTTTGAAAATAAATTGTTATATGATATTTTATAATTGCATGATTTGATTATTTTATAATATTAGTTTACCCTTTCATCTTTATTTGTTTGTGTGTGCTTGTTTTCTCTTTTGCAATGATCACCTTAAATGATGTGAGCTTAGGGGGATATTTTTCTAGTTGATCCAGCACGAGGTGAGGGTGAAGCAGGCAGAATTAAGTTTTCATTAAAGGTTACAACAGTTATTATGTGTGCCACTTCCTTCTACAAATTACCTTCATGCACATAAATCAACACTTACAATTTTATCTTTGTCTTCAATCATTCAATTGCTAAAGAGGCAAAATAAATATCTTCCAAATCAACTCAGTAATGAATAATAAAAAAATATTTCACTTTAATGAATGAATCTCAATAATAAAATAATAATTATTCGTCTTTATCTTTTTTTTATCATGGACTCATGCTGAATTAGAATAAGATCCTTAAAACACAACAAAATTTATTTTTAAGCAGTGAACGAAGGATTACTTACCAAATCAATAAACTTTGTGAACATTATCGTTAGTGTGAGAAGAACAAATTTAGTGACCGTCACCGTCACCAACGAACTTTGTGACTAATCACGAAAAAATGGTGAGTGTGATGTGAGTGAGGTGAGACAATGGTGAGTGAATGAATAAGATTATCATGTGAAGTGAGAGTGAACGACAGTGAACGAGGGCGTAGGAGAGTGGTTCGTGAGTTGATGTTCTCAAAGATGAACTCTATGTGCTGAAAGTCGAGAAATGAGAAATTTTGAAAAAGAGTTACCTAAAGAGGAAAAAGAACTTTTAGTTTTATTATTAATAATTAATTTTTCTTATTTGTATCTAAAATTGGTAGGTAATTTCTTTTTACTTATTTTCGTAAATTATTTTCATCCTAATACGTTAAGAAAAAAATTCATATATAAAATTTGTATGTAATTCACTTTTAAAAATTTGTATACAATATATAAAAATCGTATATAATATCTATATTATTTACAAATTAAAATCCGTATATAATATGGTAGATAATTTAATTTTCTTTTAAAAGTAACTTAGAGTTGCTTGAATTCTCAATATATATACTCCTTTATCATAGTTGAAAGTAGGTATATTATTAATACGACATCACTTCACCTCATGTGATTATAAAAGAGACCTTACAAATCTCGAATATGTTGATTAAGATTAGAAGTTTTTGGTCATTAAAAGACTTAATTTATTCTTTTATCTTCATTTAATTACCATAACGGCAGAAATGGCATCCTTAATTAGTCTTAATTAGTCTCTATCTTCAGTTTCTCTCCTATTTAATTATTTTACGTAGCCCGAGGAAAAAATTAGTTTTTCAATTTATTTAAGGTGTCCATAAATGATCAAAGAATTAATTCTGGGAATCATTTAATGTCAGTTATTGTTTCACCTACTATGTTTTTCCTTTCTGTCAATTTTTCTGAAGTATTGTGGCTCTTCGTGCAATCAATCATCAACAAAAATGTTTGCAATTGTTTCTTTTAACCACCAAAATTCCACCCCTTTATACCATCAAACATCTGAATATATTTACAATTTTTTAGGATTTTTATCTACATCCATCTGAAATACTTAATTATGTATGTAAGATTTACTTGCCTATAGTTTCCCTTAATTACTATCAATTGTGCTCATGTTTAACCAATGGTTACGAAACCAAACTCACTCTCACCAGTTGACTCAGGTTGATCTCTCCACACAAACCCTAGCAAACTTCCTTTTTGACAACTCCATAGTCTTAACATCCACTTGAATATATAGTCTTACTAGCTGTGGAAGTGAGTGCTAAGAAGTCACTAATAGTCTAGACACCAAGCAAATGGCACAAGTTCCTTTCAATATTCCTACATATTTATTTTAAATAAGTGTAATCTAACGGTTGAACCAATAAAAGTTATAAATACCGAAGTTAATTTTGTTTGAAAGTTTTATCTCTCTATATTTAAAACCAAAACAAAAAAAAACATTGATAACAATATATTCTTTTATTTGATCGAAAAGAAAGCAAATAAATAAAAGATTCACCGTTAAAAAAATTCAAATTTATTTTTTACAACTTTTCTTCCAATTTAAATATTAAATATCTCTTTTCTCATTTTCTTTACCATCCCAGAGGTACCATTGAACACAACAAGCAACAAGGAATATCACAGTTTGAATATAACAAGGAACATCACAGTTGAAATTTTAAATTTGTCTCGTCAAACATTTTCTCTCCAGCATCTCATACACAGAAATAAACATACCACATTATGACATACAAGAATTCAAGGTTGCATGTCATAAAATATGTCGAACATTTGTCTCTATTATCCCACGAGACACCATTAAACATAACAAGAAACGAAATGCAAGAACACAAGGTTTGCATAAAACTAAACACATCTACCATATATCTTAAATATTGCGATCATAGTTATAAGGCCATATCTTATAATCTTACAAGCTATCAAAACCATGAACTATTCTCAATTTCGAAGATATTGTCAAGGCCCCCATAGACATCTTCATCACTTATCGGCATGTTATTGCCATCAAGGGGTGTTGTTGGTGCTGTTGGTGTGGCTTCTGCAGTTGTTTGGTTTGGTGCCCCTTTCCCAGCAGTGTTCGACAGATCATGCTGTGCTATATTCATATCTGATTTTGCTCCACTTGAAGAACTTCCACCACCATTGAATGAAGTCAAAAGCTTTTTAGCTTCTTCAACGTCTTTCTTAGGGTTCAGCTTTGTCAAAAATTCCAAATATGCATCTTCATTTGTAGATTGCTTCATGTCGTTAAGGTTGTCTGTCTCGCATGTTTTCGAGCTTTCCATGTTTGACGAGCACACCGGTGTTTCTAGATTTCTCATTTTTCTAGCCCACACATACTGCTTCCTCTCAAAAAAATGGTTCATATGAGACAGATAAATAAAGATTGTACAAATCTGCAAATTACTTGTCACCCATGCCCTATTTTTACTTTATTTGTGTAGAAACAAGTTTAGAATTTTGGTTAAAAGAAGAAAAAGTTATAAAGTGCAGATATTACAACCCAACGGTTAGAACATATGGGCACATATTTCCTTAGTCCCAATTCAATAATCAAAGAATCATGCAATCGAAAAGGGCTGAAAAGAAGTGTGCAAAGATACCACCTTTGTCCCTTAATTGGTTTTTCTTTTATTCTACCTTAAAATAACATGTAGTTTTAGTTGAAAATTTCATCAGCATATATGGCAAACAATAATTGTTCACTAAATAACGTGTAAAGGATTCTAAACTAACCAGATTTTTCATTTCGTCCGTGAAAATGGTTATATAATCTCCCAGTCGTAGTTCATAATGGTTCACTAGATCCCCTGTTACATTGGATTGACAAGTAATTATTTTCTATGATGCCAAAATCAAGACTACTGTGATTATTGCAGAAGTTAGAAAGAAATAAAGAAAGGAAATTTTACCTGCATTTTCAAGAACATACATTCTACTTCTGTTATTAGACCAATACCTGCTTAATCAACGAACTATATTTAATAACTTTGAAAACGAAAAAGATATCCAATAATAAATTGCAAAAGATATTTACTTGTATTTCAAGGTCCATATCTTCGCAGAATAAACATCCTTGACTATGATATCCTTTCCTTCCTTGTCTGTCAATGGTGGAAGCTTCGCCTCAACCTCCCTCTATTTAACATATGTATATTTTATAATCAGAAAAGTTGAAGGCATTGCTATCATGTAAATGAAGAATAAAATTATATTTTCCTAAAAGTTTTCCTCATACTTTATGAAGAATATATAAAAATTGATAAAAAAAATTAGAGAATTTTCAATTCAAGAATGTTGAGATTTTTGTTTACAAATTAGCAGCACAAATACATTTATGATTGAAACTAATTAGATAAACATTGCTTCTTTTGTTTTCCTTTATTCTTGTGCTGCAAACAAATAGTTATATTAGGCAACTTGGAGCATAGATCAGGTTTCTTTACGTCAATGTTTCATCCTTCTTAGAATAAACATAAAGAGAAAGAAAACCAAAATCATAGAGAAAATATAAAATCTTACCTTTGGGAGCACAATGCGACCTAGGACACTAACGTCACTATTCTTCAACTGCTTTGTGAAAACTTCCTCTAACTTCTGCATTCAGATGGAAATAACAAAAAAAAAAGTATGGATGAAATACCGAAAAGAGAAAACCCCACATGAAGAATGTTTGTTTTAAATAACTGCATGTTTAATAATAAATTTTCTGCTTTAAACTTACTACACTTTGATAATTGTTTCCAAAATAAATAAAAAAATTAAGATGATTCATCATCTCTTCATTTTCTTTGTGAGGTAAACTCTTAAAAATGCTAGACTTAATGTATTGAATGATAATTTGAGAAAACGTTGAAATCAATGAAGAAAACCAATCACCTTCCCATCTGGGCTGCAAAAAACAATGGTAGTTCTATCTAGGTTGATAGTGAGTTTTCCTCGTCCAGAAACAGGTTTTTCCTTTGTTCCTTTGGTTGGAACCAAAGGAGCCGTAGGAGCAACATTCTTACTCTTCTGTCTTACTTTTTTCCTTTTGTCCCTAGCAACTTTGCTAGTCAATGGTCCCACAGAGGTTTGAACTTCAGAATTTGGTGGTCCATAAATTGCATTTGGTTGTGGTGTTGGAAGGGTATGCAAAGGATATGGATTCATTTGTTGGAAGTGCATGTTTTGATCATATGGACCGAAATAAGGATTAGGAAAGCCAATTTCTCCAGTTTTGTCAATAGGGAAGTTAAAATTTGTTAGTTCTGCCATGTTTTGTTCAGCTGGGATTATTACGTTCGAAGAGAAAGAGGTAGTGCCAGAGACATTAGGGATTAATGGGTTGGTGGTGGCCGCTGAAAACGGCACAGGAAAGTTGTCCATTGTTGAAACAAAGAGGCTCAATTTGAGGCTTTTGTTGTGCTTTCTGTGTTGAGTGATATGAGAGTGAGGGTGTGTATGGCTTTTATATACGAAAGCCAGTGAAGGAAACACAAAAGAGTGTGGAAAAAGCATAAGAAAAAGAAACAGATGATGGCAGTGAATGAAGAAAAAATGAACCACATGGTAACAAGAGAGGAAAGTGAAATTTGCCCAATCGGGTGAAAAAGGTGACAGGTGGATGAAACGTTGTGGCATTTGAACGCCAATCCCTGTAGTAAATTTAGCGAAATGTACGTAGCAAGCAATTCAAACTCAAAAAGTGGATGTGCCGAGAGAGATGCAGCAGAAGAAAACAAGATTGGAAAATTGTTCTAGAGCACCATTGCAATTCAAGCGAACGTTATCGTATCATAAAGTTCTCATCACCTGCAAAGCTACAAATTCTCTATAAAATACCCTTCTTTTCATATGATGACAAAATGTAATTAAAAAGAAAAAAAAAAAAAAAAACAGTGTGCGCCCTTTGTTTTGTAGGGTGCCCTTGAGAAAGTTGAATATCAGTTCTAGAAAGAGAGGGTAGGAAATAGGAAATGGTGTGGTAAATTTTTGAGGTTTTGGCTTTGGTATGGTTGGCTTAGAGATGTGGTGTGGTGTGGGGCTAGGAGTTTCATGAAACAACTCAGCATATGTTGTTTGCCAACTAAGAAGAGGTTCTAAGAGCATAAAGTGAGAAAGAAACTTCAAAAACAGACAAATTTGAGCTAGCTAAAAAATCGATACACATTAATTCAGTAAACTACAAAAATATATATTTTAATTATAGCTTTTATTACACATGAAAAAGAATTCTCAAAAACATTTCCTATGTGAACTATAATACATAAAATTAAGGCATGTGGGGTAAATTAAAAACTTTTGAAAACTATTTGCAAGAAAAAGAAAATTACAAGTACAATAGGTGATATATAAAGAGGAAAAAAAAGGGATAACAAGTGTTTGGTGTTTGAAAATAATGAGTGTACATCTATCATTACTTTTGAAAATATAATGATTGAATTTTAATAGTTTGTTCTTTCCTTATTTTTCATTTTTTTATTATCTTTCAAATGTTGAACATGATTATTTATGTTTTTAAAATGAATAATAGATATTCATTTAGTTTAGAATTAACTTTGTTAATAATTTCAGTATAATGGTAATTTAAAGCCACCATAAAACCACATCTCTTTTAACTGTAACAACAGTTATAAACAAAAGAGGATCATTTATTTCTTTGACCAAAAAATTGTATAAACTCATACTTTTTTAGACATATTTCAAAGTGTAACTTAATCTTACAATAGTTCAAGATTATATATATATATATCAATGATACACATGTTTCATTTTATATAGTTATATACTTGTTTTTTCTTTTTTTATTTTTTCTTTCCTATCACATCATATAACTTATATGTCTAATAAACTTTATAGATCTCCGACATAATGCATTATATTATGCTTCATCCTTCGTCTTCCCTCCTTTTACTCCAACTCCACTTCCACCAAAACATATTTAAATTTCCTTCTTTCATTTTTTTTCCACCCACCTACTTGTTATCTTTCCATTCTTTTTATGCAATTTAACTCACAATTTAATATTTAATTTGAACAATTATTGAAAATAAAAACAATTAATTTAACTTTTTGTGTTAAATTTAATAAATATGATGAAAACTACATTTAGCATTTATTTATTTATACTACAAGAAAATCCTAAATAACAATTAATTTTAAAGACAAAAAACAATTAATCACTTTAATGACTAATTTAAATGTTAATTTATAAATTAAAAATTATTGATCACTAAAATAATCAGTATTATGAATAAAAAATTATAATTAGTTTATGAATTAGACTTTAAATTGATCACTAACATTAGTTAGTGCTGTCAAAATGAGTTGTAACCTGCAGGTCAACCCAGCTCACCATGGGTTTAAGTCAGGTTGGATTTGAAAAAAATGTAACTTTTTTATGCGGGCTAGTTTTTAACCTGGCTTACTTAGAACCCGGCTCATGGGTTGAACCCATGGTGAGTCAGGTTGGCTCACCAACCCACCTAATTTAATTTAATTATTTATTATTTTGTGTTTCAACCCACCTAAATATTTTTTTTTATTATATTGTAGATGGTGATAAAGAAGAAGATGTTTCAAAAAGAGAAAAATATTATAAATTTATCTATTCAAGACTCTAATATTATAATTGGACAAGTGATACAAAAATTATCAATATTAAAAACTTATTTGTTTGTCTTTTGTACATTTTTTTTTATTACGCTTGGATGGTAAGATACTTTTTTTATTTATTTTGAATTGTCTTTGGAATTTAACATCATTTTAGTGTGACGTTTATTTATATTTGAATTAAAAAAATTGTAATTTTTTATTTTAGAAAAAACTTATAATTAAATGAGTCAGTAAACTAACCCATTTAACCCTTATCAAGATTTTGGCTACCAAAGACAATAATTACTAATATTAACTAGTGATTAATTTAGACATTAATTTCTTTGATAACGAAAACATTAGTAATTAATGTTAGTAATCAATTTAGAATCTAATTCACAAACTAATTATAATTTTTAATTCATAATAATGACTATTTTAGTGATGAATAATTTAGTTCGTAATTTAGTATTTAAAATAGTCCCAATAAATTATTTTTAGTTTCTAAAATTAGTTGTTTTCTGAAGCTTTGTAATGTTAAGATATGGATAGCTAAAAGTAAAAGACGAAATTGAATATAATTGAAAGTTAAAATGATTAAAAAGTATAATTCAATTTTTCATATTAGATTAAAACAAATAAACGATATATAACTATAATGAAGATTTCTAGAGGTGTAAACTAATAAATGTTAGAAATAAAAAACTACAGAACCTGTTAATTATTTTATGATCTAAAATTGGTAAAGGTCTATGGAAATATAAAAAATAAAATCAATACCCTATTTCTTCATTACACGCTTCAAACAAAGCGAATAAAATAACAATACTCAACAACTGATATGAATTCACTTCAATAAATTCACTTCAATATGTAAAACAAAGTTGATAATTTAAAAAATTGACCTATTGAATTGTATATTAATCCGTAGTTTAAAATTAAGTGCATAAAACCTTGAAGAAATAAATGATAACACAGTCTTTCACGACACATAAATGATAGCAGGATAAAATAATATTTAGAATTGGCATCGCCATTTTAGAATAAAAGGTCAATTAATACTTGTTGTGAAATAATAATTTGTTTATTTATGACATAGTAATTGACTATGTTCTTATCTTTTAATATCATAATAGAAACTGAATATCTAGTTAAATGTCCTTTGTGTTATTTAATGCACATTAACGTGTTATTTAATGTATGGAGTTTCTTCCTATTAATATTTATTAGTTTTCTGTTTCTTTTTCTCTATTAATTTTTTTTTGTTTTTTTCTTTTTTACATTTGTATCTTTGTTATTAATTTTATGTTGTGACTTTAAAATATTATTAAAATATAAAATAAAAACAATTTATTTAATGAAATTGTTTATGGTTATAAATTATAAACTATAACATGAAGTACTCCGTCATATCAAAAACATGAATAAACCAATTTTATTTTAAATATTAGTAGTATATAATATGTAAATATTGTAATATCACAAAAATACAATATAAAACTATATAATAGAATAATCACATGTTAATAATACTACATATCAGTCTTACAAAAGATAGGACGTACGCTTATGGCCGAACGGCCTTACAAAATAACGAGAAAGTTAAAATTGTACAAATAAGCAATCTAGACCGAACGATTTACAAAAGGCCTATACCGAACGGTCATACAAAAAAAAAGGTAAAAGATGATCGAACGGTCATCGTACAAATAACTAACTACTGACCGAACGGTTCTACTGTTCGGTCTTAACTTCTACCTCGACCAAACTTTCTTCTTTCAGCGCTTCTTCCAGCAGCTCTTCTCCTTCTGCTCACGTCCACACGGATGATCATTGCGACAGGACGATAACCGAACGTACAAAACGGACAAGACAGAAAAATAGGGTAAGCTTATGTAATTTAATTCATGTATCAATATATATTTCACACAATCAATTAAACCAGATAAATCATTAACTCTTTCATACAAAGCCTAATACTAAACTCTGACTGTCCGGACTGTATGAATTTTGTGTAGCTACGACGTTCGTGCACTCGGGTGATGTAGTAACTGAGATACCCTCAACAGCTACCACCCGAGGTTAGTCCTATCTGTCCAAATTAACCATAAGGACTATGACCTCCTGCCATTCCCACGCATGACTTACCCTTCTCTACGTGAGAATGAGTAATCACGAAATATCAGGATGAACCGCCAGCTTAACTTTACCCACATTCATACTTTACCAATTCCAATATCCATTCATGAGATATTCCTCCCCGGAATACTCTTTCATAACCAAAGTCATTTCATCCATATCATATTCCATCATCTTTCATCATTAAAACTTCAACTTAACCAATTTGAATAAAGATCTCGTAGGATACCAAATACCGAACGTTAGTTTTTAACCTAGAACAAGACTGAAAACTTGGAGTGAGACCGAGATATCTCCAACTCAAAACAGATCAAATCGAGAGAGTTAGTCACTTGTATTGAAAGGGACCGAATACAATAATACTTCTCAGAGACCAATAGAATCTAACGTTATTTACAAGGTGAGCCAATTTAATGAATTGACTCACGAGAGTTCAAACCGAACACCGTAAAGCCTAGGTCGAGTACTAAGACTCTAGGTCGAACCCAATTAAGACAGATATTGTAGGACATCAAATAATAGCACTTGACGGAATCATATGAAGAAACCGAACGCCAATAAATACTTAGCTTCTTAATGAGTTAAACATCAAGGAAACCGAATGTCAGTCGAAGACCGGGCACTGTAGAGAGCGAACACTATTGAGTTTGGAC